GGCGGTTGGTGGCCGGCTGGTTCGGGCTCGCGGTGGTTGTGCATCTCCGGGAGAAATCCTTCTCCGGCCTCTGCCGGTCCGGCGACGGCGACGCCCGCGGGCGCCGCACACTTTCTTGGAAGCGTTGTTTTGGTGTGGTGCTTCTCCGCGCGGCCTTGGCTTCGGAGGGAATCCTCAGATCCGCGGGATCGGGCGATGAAGGCGTCTTCACGTCTTCTTCCTCCTTGGGGGCATCGTCTCGGAGCCGGCTACAACTGGAGACCGGTGGAAGGCGGCATCTTCGCCGCGGTGGATCGCGGCATCTTCGCCGCGTGGTTGCTGAGGCGGCCGTTTGGGGGGCGCTGATTTCTGTTTGGCAACGATGATGGCGTCGAGAGGAGCTTGGGTCACGGCTCGGGCTTTGGTAGTCGGATCTTCCCGGCGTGTCCGAGGTGCTCTTTCGTGGGTTGCCTGGTTGCTTTGAAGTCGGAGCTGCGGTGGAGCGGATCCAGGTGGTGATGATGGCAGGCGCTCGGTGGTCGTTTGCGGCGGGCACGGTCGGCGCAAGTCCTGCATATTTCCCGGCAATGATCGTCGGCAAAGTCGGAGCTGTCGGTTGTTCGTGCGTGTGGCCATCTGTTGGCATGTGCCGTCGTGGAGTGTGTTCCATGTCGGTGGCCAGGTTGGCCGGTGGTGCCCATGTGTTTATGGGTTGGGTTGTTTCGGTTTTAGCCCGGTTTTCCGTCAATTAACCGGGCAATTCTCACTTCTTCTTAATCTATGAAAATGGCAAGTCTTTTGCCTCATTTCGAAAAAAAACTATGAAATATTTTATACTGGATCCATTGATAGAGAATCCATCGTCCACACACAAAAGAGAGTTGAAGCTAGTGACCCACATGGACCACATGGTCAGTTGGCATGCACATGCTCCAACTAAGCAAAAGCCCCAGCAGGTGCACCTCCTCGCTGTACCCTATCTGTCTCTCCACATGAGGACTCTGATAATACATAGGATTATCATTGCATGCTGGAGTACATTCACAACTACAAAAAATGGGGCAAGTAGACTACTTGAGGTCTCTGCGCTAGGTCAAAACTACAGTTTCACAAGAGTACAGTATTGTATTTATGTCCTTCATAAAGGCATAAATACCAGTATTATCAGGGCAATAACTCACTCCTACATCGTTGGATTTTATGTGGAGATTTGTGATGATGTTTTTATTTGGTTAATAAAATAGTGTAGGAGTTAGATGAGCAAATCCGATATTATAAGGGGATACGTTTTTTTCAGTGTAGGATCTTCCAAAAGGGGACACACAGTCAGCCCCTTCCTGGAATCAACTGGCATACGTTCTTTCAGTGTAGGATCTTCCAAAAGTGGACACACAGTCAGCCCCTTCCTGGAATCAACTATCGAAAGGCAAATCATGTTGCACCAAAGGCCAGAAAGGCACCGAAGGTTCAGTGCCTTATCAGCTGGTGGATCGGCGCCAGAAAAGCAATGGCAACAAGATCACAATATATAATACAGCAGAATTGACAGCGCATGTGCAACCTCTGTTGCCACTTGAAACTACGACAAATCAGTACAAGGAATAAAGAATCTGCAGGGAAGTATACTATGTAATGTGTAGATTACAATTTCAATTCGACATTTCTTAATAGCTGGATGGCAGTTTCAAATGAGCCTTGGCCATATGAACATGCCGCTAGGCATAACAATTGTAGACAACTTACAAAAAAACAAAACTCTTTTACTCTTCAACACTTCGGTATATCCTGAAATAAGAACCACAACCGCACGCTCACATTTTTCTGGCATATAACAACTCTGCAAGTATATGGCTCTCGCAAAGAGACCAACATCAGCGGAAGCCGCCGTCGGCCCAATATGACCCGCCAGCAGTTCCATTCTGATTGCTCCCACCCTTGTTGGCGGGGCTGTGATGGCTGTAACTATCAAAACCGTCATCTTTCGCATCGTCCCAGCCGGCCCACGAATCGCTGCTCTGTCTTGTCTTGGCAGGCTCATCCTTCTTGTCTTGGTCATCCCAATCATCCCAAGAATTGGAATTATGGTTCTGGTTCTTAGCTGATCCATCTTGCGGAGAATTCCAGCCGTTGCCGTTGCTGGTCTCCTGCTCATACCTGCGGTAAGGCTCGTTGCTGTTGTTCTGCTGCTCCCTTTGTTGCCAATCATCACCCCAGCCACCGCCCACTCCCCCTTCCTTGGCATACTCCTCTACCTTTTGTGTGGCCAATGCCATCACTCCTTTCATAATCCCCCAGGTTCTGCTTCCTATCTCTGCAGTTTTATTGGTTACAACATTGACAGTTTCGTTCACCTTCTGATCATAACCCCCTTCCCTCATCTGCATTCCAGATAAGGACCATTCTTAAAGACAAATAGCGATGTAACACGAGAATAAAGAACACGACAAATAATCTAAAATTCAGCATGCACTATCCTGATATAAGGATTATGAAAAGATATGTTCACTCAGCGTCCAGTCATGGGTGGAAGTGTGAAATAAGACAAGAAGGCACTGAACTTCAGGCGCAGTAGAAATAAATATGAAGAGGATAATATTCTTGAGTTAAGACTGCTCCAAACAGAGAAGACAGTTCATATAACTACTACAATGTCAAACCTTGCTTGGAGGACACCTTCCTATCATATTAGTACTCAGGAGAGTCTAACAAGATTTAATCAGGACACTAGGTAAACACAGTGAACAAAGAGCATTTTTCATGATCAACTAGACTACGGAAATTCAACTCTTGCATATCACAAATCAGGCAAAGCATTGAAGGTACCTTTGACTGAATCTCTTTTGTGCCAACTTGGACAACAGTAGCAGCAGATTGGGCAGCAGATGCTGCAACAAGCGAAAGGCGTCCAAATCCCTGAAAAGGTAAAATGGTAAGGAACGTATACTCATATGAGATTAAACAGAAATCAAAACAATGTCCAATTATGACATGACTGTCTAATCATATATTCACATGACCCAAGTATGACATTTCAAGCTTGGCACCAAACAAAATATAACCTTAAGTAACCAAATGATGATTGCAGATGTAATTTGCTAACATAATCTGAAGGAGTGCTGCTGGGGTACAGTAAAAAGTCTATAAGGAGAAATTGTTGATGATCAGGATCAGGCTACAAAAGGTGATCCCACAGCTATGTCAATATGCATAGCTTAATGAAGACACGGTAGAAGGGGCACTTCAGCTACATGTGAGGGGAGAGGTTCACAAATCCAATGAAGTATAAGATGTGGATGTCCCAGCACTCTAACAGGGGCAATATGTGATGCATAGCTAACAGTGGTGACAATATAGCCATTCATGACTTGCTGTAATAGGATCCCCGCAAGAAAACAATTTTATGAAACAGCAGATTTTCCTTTCTGAAAACACTAGTGTATGCTCTTCCACTACTATTGCAGGTACTGGGGAAATGTTTGAAGATTCGTTGATTCTAACCACAAAACTATACATCATGTAGTAGTAGTATTATGTTTGCAGGTATACAGGGAGTAGTTGATATAGCATAAAAAACAATAATCTGTTTCATTTACCTGGGAAACAGCCTGCATGACATCGCCCTGGGCAGCACCGTTGTTGTTCCTATTCGCCGACGGCGGCGGGGTGGATCCGAAGCCGACGTACTTGCCGCCCTGAGAGGGAGGGATCCCCTGAGGCTTGGACTCGTTCTCCGCCATTCTCCTAGCGAAAAAATCCTCCTTGCTGGCCGACGACGCCTCAAGCTCCTGCTTGGTGTATATGTCCTGAGTGGACTTGGACCTCGTCGGCTGTCTCCCCGAATCCGGTCCAGCGCCAGCAAACGATCCGGCCGATTGGTTCCTACGCATATCCGGACGGACCTCGTCGTCCCAATCGTCCCATCCGCCGCCACCGCCTCCACCCCCTCCTCCGGCGGGCAAGGGCGGCCTCCTGGCGGGGGCGGGCGCGCCAGATCCGGGCGTCTCCTTAACGACGGGCGGGTCGGTCCACGCGCGGCCTTCGGCGAGGGCGACGATGCGGTCGCGGTAGGCGGCGGCGGCGTTGGAGTTGTACTTGGGGATGTGGGGCGTGTCCTTGGGCACGCCCCGCGCGGTGAGGAAGGCGTTGAGGCGGTCGTTGCCCCCGGCCTCCATCCTGCGGAGCTGCGGCTCGGTCCAGGAGTCCATGGTGACGGAGCGGACGAAGCTGATGTGCACGCCGAGGCCCCGGTGCTTGCCGGAGCACTCGAGGCACATGAAGACGCCGTAGGAGACGCTGGCCCACTGCGGGTTCCTCTGCGCGCAGTCGACGCACGTCTTGTTCCCCGACTGCCCCTGCAGCTCCCTGAGCCGCCTCGCCGCCGTGGACGCCATCGCCGGGATCCGGATCTGCCGCGCCGGATCCGGGATCGGGGTCGGTTGGTGGCCGCGGGAGGGCGAGGAAGGGGAAAGGAGGAGGTGGTGGTGGTGGTGGAGGGCTCGCCGACACGGAACGGGGAGCGAGCGAGGGAGAGGTCAAATACCGTGCGGTGGACGCTTGTGCCCCTGGGCGCGCCGGGGCCGCGCTGATGGCAGGCCGGTAATTTCCCCCCGCGGCGGGAGGGCAGGGCGGGGACTCCTCCTGGTAGGCGCGGCCGAACGCCCGAACCGAACAGCCAGCGACACCGACAGCCCGGGCCCACAGCGCAGCTGCAGCGGGACGGGACGGGACGGGCGAGGAAACTGTGTGGGTCAGGACTCAGGAGGAGTACTACTCGTAGCCGAGTCGGGTCGGGTAGGGCTAGGGTGGGTGGGCGCTGCACGCGATAGAGCCGGGTGGCCACCGGGTGGTTTGGGGTCGGGACGTGCCGAAACGCACGCGGGGCCGTCGCTCACGCAAACAAAAACCGACCCCTCCCATCGCCTCGCGGTTTTTTGACCCGTCGTTTCCGTTTCCCGGCATAGGACGACGCGTCGAGAGCCCTAGCAATAACGCCCGGGCCCGAGCGTCGAGACCGATCGATCATGGCGACGGCGCCGGAGGCGGTGGAGGTGCCGACGACGGAGGAGACGCCCGCGCCCGCGGCGAGCGAGGATCAGGCGGCGCCCGCTGCAGCGGCGGCGGGGACGAACGCGACGGTGCCCGCGCTCTACGTGGGCGATCTGCATGAGAACGCGCAGGAGGAGCACATCTTCGACGCCTTTAGCAAGGTCGGTGCTGTCACCTCCGTGAGGGTCTGCCGCGACAACGCCACCAGCAGGTCGCTTCGCTATGGCTACGTAAATTATTTCTCCCAAGCCGATGGTACACGCACACTGTCTCCATCCATCATCTTTTTTTCCTTTTCTACAGTGTAAGCGTGTGCTGCTGCTTATTTATCTTCAATTTCAATTTTTCCCAATCCACTCCATAGGGTTAGGCTCGATAGCGATTTGGGGAGTTATGTTTTTTTCTTCCTGCTTTTATTTATCGATTGCGATTTTATTTCATTAATTTGATCAAAATATGTATGTTTTGTTTAATTATATACTGTCAAACATCTTTGCATTGTTTCAAAGTATATATGTTTAATTATATAGCAGACATCTTTGTATGGCGTTTGAACAAGCTATGCTTGTCGTTGTCATACAATTTTCATATTGTTGCTGCCACTTTGATGTGATAGCCATCATCGGTCCCTTATGGCAATTGGGGGCATAGTGTAGTTTGGGTTGTTCAGCATGCAACTAGTGCACCCATCACATAACTGCTATGCGTTGCTTAATCTTCAGCTTGTATGTCGCACGCAATTTAATTATTGATCTCTTTTTCTTTGCTATGTATGGATTGTGTTTGTGTGTGTGTGTGCGTGTGATAGAGAGAGATCATTAAAAAACGACCATATTTGGGTTTACAACACATCTTTAGGAGCACGAATTAGCATCTCTTCCAAAACTAGAGATTTCACTAGCATTAGCCAAGAAACAATGTTTTACTTGTTCCGTTTTAGCCTTTGAGGCTTGGTTCTCGTGCTAGCTGAATTTGTGTGTGTGTGTGGTGGGGTGGGGGGGGGGAGGGAGGGAGGGAGAGAGAGATCAAGTATCATTAAGAAAAATTGACCATATTTGTGTTTATTGGTACTACACCTCCTTTTGTGCAAGTTTTGAAATAGTGGTCTTTCTAGTAAAATGCATGGTGATATGCTGTGATGTGGAACAAAAGATTAGTATGATTATCCAAATTTGAGTTCTTTTTCCATTGAAGATGGTAGAAATAATAATTTAGGGAGACTTTGCCTGCACGTACTCCCTTTGTAGTACATTTCCTTACAATGTTTTGCAAGCGCACAATTTCCAATTTTTAAATTAATGTCTGCTCCATTGGAATGTGAATGAATAAGTTGACTACTATTGTCTCGTTGTGGCTCTCTTCAGTTTTCCTAAGCTTGTTACTCCTTTTAAATATACTGAAGGCACAAACAACTTGTCTGCTTTTCTATTTCTTCGTTTTCTCTTTCATTCATTTTCTTAGTACTGATTTTGTTGTTCAACAAATGACCCTATGCCCAAACTAGTTCTATTTATGGAGGGGCAATTGATTGGCTTTGACTTGTTTTTTAACCGTTGACAGCAACGACTGCTTTGGAGCAGATGAATCATAGCCTTATATTGGACAAGCCAATTAGAGTAATGTGGTCTAACCGAGATCCTGATGCCAGGAGAAGTGGCGTTGGAAATGTGTTTGTTAAGGTAAAAAGATATATATGTTCTTCATGTTAATATTTCTCACTCTGCATTGCCATATGTAAGTACTAACTCGATATATTAATTGACAGAACTTTGGTGAGCATGTCGACAATGTAATTCTTCAAGAACTATTCTCCAAGTTTGGAGAGATATTATCTTGTAAAGTTGTTAGAAATGAGGATGGCACAAGTAGAGGCTATGGTTTTGTTCAGTTTGCATCGCAAGAGCCGGCAGACATCGCAATAGAGACTCTTAACAACTCTTACTTTGAGGGCAGAGAATTGTAAGTTAATGTTTCTGTAATACAACTAGTACATGACTTAGTTTTATATTGACTATTTCTTTTTTTTAACATTGCTACTTACATGATTTTGTTTTACAATGATCAATCTTGTGTAGGCTTGTAGCTCATTTCGTTAAGAAGAGCGAACGATCAACCAATAATGATGACAAGTACACTAACTTGTATATGAAGAATATAGATAACGACATGACAGAAGAACTCATTAAATTGAAGTTTTCTCAGCATGGTCAAGTAACTAGTGTGAAGATAATGAAGAGAAATGATGGGACATCCAAGGGTTTTGGGTTTGTCAGTTTCAAAAACCCAGAAAGTGCCAAGAAAGCAAAAGAGGCCATGAATGGGATGGCTCTTGGTAATATTACTGCCATGCATTTCATTTCACAAATAACTTCTAATGGTCCATGCATTTTTACTTAACAATGTTAATTTTATTTTTATTATTAGGAGCGAAAACTTTGTATGTGGCAAGGGCTCAGAAAAAGGCTGAAAGAAAGCAATATTTGCAACTCTTACATGAGGAAAAGCGGAATGAAATAATCACTAAGAGCAATGCAAGTTCCATCATTCTCATTTTTATTTATATTCACGTATAGCCTTCACATCTTTCATTTACAAATGTGTATTTAATTCTGACAGGGGTCCAATGTGTATATCAAAAATATTAGTGATGAAGTTGATGATGACACTCTTCGCAAGCGCTTTGTTGAATTTGGAAATATTACATCAGTAAAGATTATGCGTGATGATAAGGGCATTAGCAAAGGATTCGGATTTGTATGTTACAGCACACCCGATGAAGCAAAGTGTGCCGTAAGCAGCATGCGTGGTAATCCTCTATTTATTTTTGCACCAACTCCATATTTATACATTGACATCACGATACTGAGAATGTTTTGTTTTGTTTGAAATAAATAGGTGTCATGTTTTACGGCAAACCATTGTATGTTGCTATTGCTCAAAGGAAAGAGGATAGAAAAGCTAGGCTGGAGCAACGTTTTGCTGAACTTGCTACGATGGCAGGAACTGCAAGCCCTGTGATCCCCACAGGTTATCCTCATGTGTACTTTGCCCATCCCAGTACACACTTTCCTCAGGGTCCTTCAAGGCAAGGATTCATGTATCCACCCATTGGGCTCGGCCAAGAATGGAGGCAGAATGTGTACCCTTCGCTGCATAGTATCCAGCAAATTCATCAACCACTCGTATGTTATTGACTTATTCTACTTAAATTTCATTTTTAAGTGCAAAAACTTGGTTAAAACTTGTTTAATTTCTGCATAGATGCCAAATACTCCAAGGCAGTACAGAAACAACAGGGGACGCATGACTGGGAATATGATGACTTTTCCCCACGCCGTTAATTATGTGTCACATGCTCAGACAGCTAAAGATTTCATGTCCATGTCCCGGCAGGTATTAACAAATTTTAAACTGTTTCTAACTTTTTATATTGAGAAAACAAATGTTTCATGTTTGTCCCTATTTAAATAGTGGTTAGGGCTAACAATCTTATTGCAAATTTTTTTACACCAGCACGGATTACTCTGACCACTAATTTTCATTACAGTATAATTCAGCAAAACTATATGGTCTGAACATTATTTTTTAGACAAACACATGTGTATAATTCCAAGTATCTAAGTAAAATTGAGAGATGATAGTAGTCATGATTAGAAAGAAACATATGAGCATAACGACTTTTAAGGAACAATAGGATGATATTTTGTTTTGTGGCTTTTTTAAACGTATATCCTTGTTTCTTTAGTTACTCCTCCTCCCCCATTACTATTGTCAATTCAATCATACTAAGTAGACGTTGTCTTGTGACAGAACTTCACTAACAAGGAGTGCTAAGCTACCACTTCGCACTTTATTAATTAAAGACAACTTCACTAACAAGGAGTGCTAAGCTACCACTTAGCACTTTATTAATTAACAGTATTTGACATTTCTTTCCTCCTGAAGAGTTAAGTTGCTACATCTTACGTTGTCTTGTGACAGAACTTCACTAGCATGGATTGCTAGGCAGGAACTACCTTGCACATAGTTTACATTATCTGATCTAGTTATGCTTAGTTTATTTTCCTTCTGGAGAGTTTAAATCGCTACCTGTAATGCAGCAATTCGGCCATGCAAAGTACATAACACCCGATGTTATGAGCAATGGCCTGGCCATCCATCACGGCGGCCCTATTTCATCGGTGAACGATTCTTTCGCTAGCTGCTGCTCCACCTGATCAACAAAGAGATATGCTCGGGAATAGGATATATCCACTGGTCGAGAGATATCATGTAATTCCTCATCTACTTTGGTCCCTTATTTTGCTTCTTTCAAACTAACAAGGACCTAACAGTTGCACTAACTTGGTATGTCTTGTCTGCTGCAGCCTGATCTGGCCAGTAAGATCACTGGAATGTTGCTGGAGCTGGATACTTCTTATCTGCTCTCGATGCTGAATTCGCAGGATACCTTGTCTGCAAAAGTTAACGAGTGTGTGCAAGCTCTGCAAGGGCAGCAAGCGGCAAAAAATAAGCCCGAGGATCTGGAGGCCCTACACCCTGGCTTCCTCGACTCTACCGGTGTAAACGCCAACTGAGAGGGTTCACAACCAGGCCAAGAACCTTCCATTTTCTTTTCTGGACAGGGATTTTTGGGAACTAGATAGCCGTTCTTTCTTATTATAGTTTGTGAGTTTTTACCGATTGAACTTATGAGTTACTTGTTACTACAGAATAAAATATATTAGATTTAGCTAGAACCTTGTGAGTTTTACTATTATTATTATGGCATCATATGAATGAATCCTATAGAGAATAATGACTTTTGGTGACTTTACTATGTTGCTCTTCCTCTGACGTTATGAACATTTCTGCCTTACTAATTTTGTTGCTTTATTATTGCTTCTGTTTATGGATGATTCACTGAAAGTCCGCAAGGTTTCTCCATATATTCTAATTTCTTGTGGAGTCTATATATAGAGATTAAAGTGTAGACCTGGTGTCTACACTCGTCATATACTCATATCGGACTATATCTCTAAAACCATGTAGATCATCTGAAGTCCAAGCTGTTACTAGATGTGTATTTCTGATTTTGTCTCATACAGATTTTGTGGATGTGTTCTGACTATTGAGGAAGCCACTGCCGCTGTGTTGTTACGATACTACTAGTGGACCCGTTGTGCCAAATGGCGTAGAGACCTGCTGATTACATGTTAGCGATGAAAAGAAATCCAGGTTTAGTTACGGGTACTCACATATGACAATAAATTTAATCTTTTTTAGTTGGGAAAAACAAAGATTATTATCTACAATGAGATGTATATAC